TTTAGCTAAATGGATGCATATCGAGGCCATACTCTTAAGTGAAATAAATAGGACACACATGTGTAAATACCGAATAGTTTCTCTAGTGTGAGAAACTGATAGTATAAACAAGGGTTAAAATGATTAAAATGAATAATTGATAATTTGAAATAGAAAAAAAGGTCCAAAGATGAAGGGGTGAAGGGAGGGGAAGGGGAAAGGAAAGGAGGGAAAGGAAAAACTGAGCAAAGAAAAAAATGGAAATGAAGTCTATGTAAATAGGGAAGGTTAGAGGGGGTGAAGGGCGCTCAGGTAATGGGGAAAAAATAAGAACCAAGGTACAAACACAGGTACAAACACCCAATAATAAATGTAAACAAATTGTATACCTAAAATGTACCAATAAAAGGACTTAAGAAAAAAATTATATTATGTAAAGGTACAGATCTCTAACGATGAATGCCATTATACTGTATACCTAAAGTGTACCAATAAAATTAATTTTTAAAAAGATTTCCTTAAGGTCTTAAAGACAAGCCTATAAATCCCCGCTCTGGACCTGTCCTTTACACCTGCAAATTGTACTTTCTCCACCCTCAAAGAAACCATGATATTGGTGGGTAGCATATCTCAACTTCAAATATATGTAGATGGCTTGCATTGTAACCTGACAGACAGTATGAATACATATCCTAATTTCCTTATCTTGAAGACAACACCTTACATATACTCAATTCACCTCAGAATGCATCTCAATTTCTGTCTGTGCTTGCAGTACACTTTTGACTGCATTCTATAATCTCTGTCTAATAAACCCTTCTCCTATCTCTTCCTGATGTTTCCTGAAAAATCTTTTTTCCACAGCAGGAGTCAGCAAAGCTGCAAACTTATTCTACAAGGGAGGGATAGGTTCCTTATTTCAGCCTCAGGCACCCTCAGACCTAGCCCAAGTGATAACATCACACACAGATATTAAATTAGATGCTTATATATAATTGGGTTTCTCATATGGGAGAAACCAGGTGATATTTCTATGTGAACCCTTTTCACTTATATTATGGTTTCAAAATCCATCTATTTTCTTACAAATGACTTGAATTTATTCTTCATTATGGCTGAATAAAATTTTATTATATATATCACTATATATATCACATTTTCTTTACCCATTTATAGAGAAATAAATAAATTTATAGAGTAAATTTCATTATACATAATATCACTATATATATCACTGTATATATATAATTTTCTTTACCTATTTATAAATAAAGAGTAAAATAAAAGGAAAACTTTTTGAGCAGGAATAAAGGATGAGGAAGGGAGAGAGAAAAGATAGGGAAAGGGAAGTTAGAGAGGGGGAATGGGGATAAAAAATGATCAAGATGGGCCAGGGATTTAGCTAAGTGGTGCTGCCACCTGCCTCGCAAGCTCAAGGTCCTGAGTTCGATCCCCGGTACCAAAAAACCCCCCCAAAACCAAAGATTAAGATAATTCCCCAAAATGAAAGTATATATTATGTATTGCAA